TGCCCTTAGCATTTTCTCCTTCATTTCAGCCCTGGTGAATCTGATGATTATGTACCTTCAGGTCGCTCTTCTTGAGGAATATTTTTGTGGTGTTCTCTGTATTTCCTGGACTTGAATATTGGCCTGCCTTGCTAGGTTGCGGACGTTTTCCTGGATAATATCCTGAAAAGTATTTTCTAGCTTGGATTCTTTCTCTCCATCACATTCAAGTACAGCTATCAAACGCAGATTAAGTCTTCCCATAGTCCCATATTTCTTGGAGACTGTTCATTTCTTTTTACCATTTTTTTTCTCTAATCTTGCCTTGTTTTATTTCATTGAGTTGATCTTTCACCTCTGATATCCTTTCTTCTGCTTGGTCAATTCAGCTGTTGAAACTTGTGTATGCTTCACGAAGTTCTCATGTTGTGCTTTTCAGCTCCATCGATTCATTTATATTCCTCTCTAAGCTGTTTATTTTCATTAGCATTTCACCAAACCTTTTTTCAAGGTTCTTAGTTTCTTTGCATTGGGTTAGAACATGTTCTTTTAGCTCAGAGAAGTTTCTTATTACCCACCTTCTGAAGCCTGTTTCTCTGAATTCATCAGACTCATTCTCCATCCAGCCTTGTTCCCTTGCTGGTGAGGAGTTCTGATCTCTTGGAGGGGGAGAGGCGTTCTGGTTTTGGGTGTTCTCATCCTTTTTGCGCTGGTTTCTTCCCATCTTTGTGGATTTATTTATCTGTAGTCTTTGTAGTTGTTGACTTTTAGAACGGGTTTCTGAGTTGATGTTCAGTTTGTTGATGATGAAGTTACTTCTTTCTGTTTCTTAGTTTTCCTTCTAACAGGCCCCTCTGCTGTAGGACTGCTGAGGTCCACTCCAGGCCCTGCTTGCCTGGGGATCACCTGCAGTGGCTGCAGAACAGTAAGGGTTGCTGCCAGTTTCTTCTTCTGTTATCTTTGTCCCAGAAGGATACCCGCCAGATGTCAGTCTGAGCTCTCCTTTATGAGGTGACTCTTTGGATATCTGGGCATCAGGGAGCTGCTTAAGGAGATAGTCTGTCCTTTATAGGAGCTCAAGTGCTGAGCTGTGGCTCCGTTGTTCCATTCAGAGCTGCTGTGCAGGTACGTTTAAATCTGCTGCAGCAGAACTCATAAACGCCTTTTTTTCCCCCCAGGTGCTCTGTCCCGAGGAGGTAGGACTTTATTTATATGAAATTTCTATCATCCGCTGCCTTTTTTCAGGGCTTCCCTGCCCAGCGAGGAGGCAGCCTAGTCACAGTCTGCCTGCAGTGGCTTTGCTGAGCTGCTGTGGGCTCTGCCTAGCTGCCCTGTGAACTTCCCTACAGTCCTGTTCATAGGGGTATAGTTAGAACTGCCTTGGCAATGGCGGCCCACCTCTGTAATGGCGAACTCTGTCTGTGATGACGGACTGCCTCGGCAATGGCAGACTACCTCGGTAGTGGTGGACTGCCTCAGTGATGGTGTATGCCCCTCCCCCACAGAGCTGGCCCGTCCTGGGTTCACCTGTGCTTGCTGTGAAACTCTCAATCCAGAGCATTTCAGATTGCTGTTTTTTGTGGGAGTGGGACCCGCCAAGCCTGATCACCTGGCTCCTTGCCTCAGACCCCCCCTTTTTTTTTTAGTTGAACAGGCAACTGTCTGCCAGGTGACTCAGTCACCAGTTGAAACAGCACCCGTATTTGTGTGATTTCTTGTGCGTAGACCCACTGTGCTGGCTAACAGCCGCTGAAGAATCGTGGCACTTTTTTGCCAGTGAATCTCCTGGCCAGGCTCCCTGTTTCAATCCCCCTTTTTTCAGTTGAACAGGTGACTCTGTCTCCCAGGCGTTCCAGTCACTAGTTGAAAAGGTGCCTGGATTTGTGTGAGAGACCTACTGAGCCAGCTGAAACAGCCGCACTGGGGACTCATGGCACTTTTTCACCTGGGAATCTCCTGGCCTGGCTCCCTGTTTCAGTCCCCATTTTTTAGTTGAACAGGTGAGTCTGTATACAGGCTACTGTAAACAAAACTGCATGGTACTGGCATAAAAATGGTCACATCAACCAATGGAACAGGATAGAATGCCCAGAAATAAGCCCAAGTATTTGCAGTCAACTGATTTTTTAACGAAGGTGCTAAGAACAGACAATGGGGGAAAGTCTCCTCAATAAACGATATCAGGAAAGTGAACATCCACATGCTGAATAACAAAATTGAGTCCTTATCTCACACCATATACAAAAATAAACTCAAAATAGATTAAAGTCTCAAACAGACCTGAAAGTGTAAAACTAATAGAAGACAACATAGGTGAAAACTCCGTATTAGTTTGGGCAATGATTTCTTGGATAGAACCCTAAAAGCAACAAAAGCACAAAAAGATAGATTGGATATAGTGATCCAAGATGGCCGATTAGGAGCAGCTCAGGATTGCAGCTCCCAGCGAGAGTACAGAGGGTGAGTGGACACCGCATTTCCAGACGAATTTTTATTGCCCACAAACCAGGCGATTCCCAGGTGGAGGAGCCCCACTGGTTGCCAGTGCATTTGTTTTGGCCACGTTCCCATCACCTGGTGGCGTTTCTCCCAGGCGTTCCAGTCACCTGTTGAAAAGGCACCCGGATCTGTGTGATTTCCCAAGTGGTGACCCACTGTGCTGGCTGAAACAGCCGAGCCAGAGATTCATGGTGCTTTTTTGCTGGGGAATCTCCTAACCTGGCTCCCTGTTTCAGTCCCCCTTTTATCAGTTGAATGGGTGACTCTGTCTCCCAGGTGTTCTAGTCGTCTATTAAAAAGGTGCTGCGATCTGTGTGATTTCCCCTGCAGTGACCCACTACACCGGCTGAAACAGCTGAGCTGGAGATTCGTGGTGCTTTTTTGCCCAGGAATCTCCTGTCCTGGCTCCCTGTTTCAGTCCCCCTTTTATCAATTGAATGGGTGACTCTGTCTCCCAGGTGCTCCAATCACTAGCTAAAACAGTGCCTGAACCCATGTATTTTGTGTGGAGACCCACCATGCCGGCCAAAACAGCCGCGCTGGCAACCAGTGGGGCTCCTCCACCTGGGAATCACCTGGTTTGTGGGCAGTAAAAATTCGTCTGGAAATGTGGTGTCCACTCACCCTCTGTACTCTCGCTGGGAGCTGCAATTCTGAGCTGCTCCTAATCGGCCATCTTGGATCACTATATCCCGTTTGTCTTTTTGTGCTTTTGTTGCTTTTAGGGTTCTAACCAAGAAATCATTGCCCAAACTAATACAGAGTTTTCACCTATGTTGTCTTCTATTAGTTTTACACTTTCAGGTCTGTTTGAGACTTTAATCTATTTTGAGTTTATTTTTGTATATGGTGTGAGATAAGGACTCAATTTTGTTATTCAGCATGTGGATGTTCACTTTCCAGATACCGTTTATTGAGGAGACTTCCCCATTGTCTGTTCTTAGCACCTTGTTAAAAAATCAGTTGACTGCAAATAGTTGGGCTTATTTCTGGGCATTCTATCCTGTTCCATTGGTTGATGTGACCATTTTTATGCCAGTACCATGCAGTTTTGTTTACAGTAGCCTTATAATATATGTTGAGATTAGGGAGTATGATGCCTTTGGCTTTGTTCCTTTTACTCAAGACCGCTTTGGCTATTTAGGGTCTTTTGCAATTCCATATGAACTTTAGGATTGCTTTTTCTATTCTGTGAAAAATGATATTGGAATTTTGATAGAGATTACATTGAATCTGTAGATTGCTTTGGGTAGTATGGACATTTTAAAAACCATTAATTATTCTAATCCATGAACATAGGATACCTTTACATTCATTTGTGTCTCTTTTTTCACATCAGTGTTTTATAGTTTTCAGTGTACAGGTCTTTTACCTCTTCACTTAAATTTACCTGAAGTGGTTTTTTTTTTTTTTTTTTATGCTATTGTAAATGGAATTGTTTTCTTAATTTCTTTTTCATATAGTTTGTTGTTAGTGTATAAAAACACCACTGATTTTTATATGTTGATTTTGTATCCTGTAACTTCCTTGAATTTATTAGTCCTAACAGGTTTTTCTGGTGGAGTCTTTAGGGTATTCTGTATATAAAAATCATATTATCCTCAAACAGGGATCATGCTGATAACATGATCTTATATATAGAAATCTCACATATCTTATATGTCTCTATATATTACATATATATTTTATATATCCCTATATGTTTGTATATACTATATACATAGATACTACATATCTATATTTTGTATACATATCTATATTATATATAGATCTTCTATATAGAAAACTTATATCTACAAGAATGCTTCCCATCCTATTTGGATGACTCTTACTTCCATTCCTTGCATAATTGCTCTGGCTAGGACATATACTACTACACTGAATAGACGTTGGGAGAGTGGGCATCATTGTCTTGTTCCTGATCTCAGAGGAAAAGCATTCAACTTTTTACTGTTGAGTACAGTTTAGCTGAGGGTTTATCATATTTGGTCTTATTATGTCACAGTACGTTCTTTCTATGCTTATTTTATTGAGAGTTTTTTATTATGAAAGGATGTTGAATTTTGTCACATGCTTTTACTACATCTATTGAGATGATCATACAGTTTTTGTCTTTCATTTTGTTAATATGGTATATCTCATTTATTTATTTATGTTAAGCCATCTTTGCATTCCAGGGATAAATCTCAATCATGATGAATAATTCTTTTAATGTGCCAGTGAATTCAGTTTGTTAGTATTTTGTTGAGGATTTTTGCATCTGTGTTCATCAGAGATATTGGTTTGTAGTTTTTCTTCCTGTAGCATCCTTGTCTGGCTTTGGTATCAGGGTAATACTGGCCTCCTAAAATGAGTTTAGAAGTATTTCCTTCACTTTAGTTTTTTAGAAGGGTTTGAAAAGGATTGGTATTAGTTCTTCTTTAAATATTTGGTAGAATTCAGGTCATCAGTTTCAGGTCCTGGGTTTATGTAATTTTTTTTTACTCAAATTCCTGATATAATCTTTCACTTCTGTCTTTCAGCATTGGTACTGTACCCCCACTTTTCAAAGAGAACATGCAGGGTTAAAAAAAATGTGTTAGGTGAGTTTCCAATTTCATGAAAAAAACATCATGAAGTGACAGTGCTTAGATTAGTGTCAGTTTATAAGAACCTGCCTAGCACCCAGAAAACTCCCAATGACTGATCAATGAGTTTATTTCCTCCTCCAAGGCCTCTTTTCCCACCTGGAAGTTAAAATCAAGGCAGGAGTCTGCACAAAGGGTAGCTTTCACCCCTGAGGCTTCTGGGCTGGATAACCTGAGTCCTCTGTCCTCTGACTCTCACAGTGGTGTCCCGTCATCCTTCTGACATTGCTTCTAAATTTGAACAGGGTTGTAACCTTGTGGAAACTAGAACCACTGCCTGCCCTGACCCCCTAGAAAAGCAGACACATGTCAGCACAGAGGATGTTTTCAATGAATACTTTGTAGTAGTATCTTAAAAGCCTACTTAATAGAAAATACTAAGTTGTATTTAGACTTTTAGTCTTAAAATACTTTGTAGTAGCAAATAAAGACTAAGAAGATAGTCTTAGGTTGTGAACATTTACAATCTTAGGAATAATTCCGGGCAACATTTTACTTAATTTCTTTTAGATTCTTAATGACTTTTATAATTCTACCTTCATGCCTAAGAAAAAGTATGACAGTTTATTCAGTGTCTTTTTAAAATTATTTTACAGTAAGTAGGAATGTTTTCTAACATGTAAAAACCTACAGAAGAAAAAAATAAATTTTTGTCTCAAACTGAAGTCTGGATTATATTGGTGTCTCCAGAGTCAAAGCTATTAGAAAGCAACAGTGGAGATAACCATATTTATCTTTGGGAGAAATAACTAAAGATATGTATTAAGCTCAAGATGATAGCCTAAGTAACTTGACGCAACATATAAGAAGCTTTTAGTTCCAGTTAGGCAGAATTCAGAGTTCTAATCTTCATAATTTTCAATCCATGCAAGTTTAATAATTGTCATCTATAACAATATTTTTAAAGCTTTATGCACCAATTATTGAAGCTGGGTGATGAGAATATAAGGGTTCCCTATACTATACTGTTTATTTTTGTATAAGTTTTTTCAGATTTTAACAAAAAACCCGCAAACTATAGTAACACCTCATTTGTTCCTTACTGAGTTTTCCAGGTACATTGAAGTTTGTCGAAAGCTTATCATGCCCATGCTAGTTGAAGATCATGGCAAACCATTTTCCTCGAGCTTTCTTTAAATCGAGCCCTGGGGTGATATTTATGTTGGTTAGATGTCACCATTGTCCCCATGTCTGCGAGCTGCTCACCAGAGTGGCTGCTCGGGCCCATGAGTCTGTCCACTGCCCCTAGCAGCCAGTCTGCCTTCCTTCCCTGCAGAAGTGACTTTAGGCAGCCAGACAGCCTTGTCCTCTGAGGTTTTCTGGAAACACTACACCATGTTTTTCTAACCTCTTCTCTTTTTCAGTATGCCAGTCTTTTTGTGCAGTCTTTTTGATTGCAGAAGAGACAGGATACATTGAAAACGTGTTGACTTGCTTATCTGTAGGTGAGGTTTATCATATTGCTCCTTACACACTATAAAATTCACACTTTTCATTATACAGTTCTATGAATGTTGAAAAAAAATCACAAAAATAAAGATAATAGAATTTTCCATTGCTCTAAAAGTTTCTCTGCTCCCCTTCATTCCTCCACCTCATCTCTGGAAACCACTGATATTATTTCTGTACCAACAGCTTTGCCTTTTCAAACTTTCTTACAAATGGTCTCAAAAAGTACATAGCCTTTTGTATCTGGCTTCTTTGACATAGCACAATGCTTCTCTCTCTCTTTCCCTCTCCCCCTTTCTCCCTCTGTTTCTTTCTTTCTTTTTCTCTTTCTCTCTTTCCCTCTCCCCCTTTCTCCCTCTGTTTCTTTCTTTCTTTTTCTCTTTCTCTCTTTCTCCCTCACTCTCACTTTCGCTCTGGCCTTCTCTCCTGTCTTTGAGAGGGTCTTACTCACCCAGGCAGAGAGTACAGTGGCACAGTCATGGCTCACTGCAGCCTCAACCTACTGGGCTCAAGTGATTCTCCTACCTCAACCTCCCAAGTACCTGGGACCACAGGCATGCACTGCCATGCCCGGCTTCCTTTTTGTAGAGATGGGGGGTCTCACTTTGTTGCCCAGGCTGGTCTCAAACTCCTGGGCTCAAATGACCCTCCTGCCTCAGCCTCGCAAGGTCCTGGGATTACAGGTGTGAGCCATCATGGCTGGCCCTTTTTTTGTTGTTATTAAGCAATTTTATTTTGAAATAATTTTAGGCTTACAGAAATATTGCAAAAATAGTACACAGAGTTCTCATACACCGTTTACCCAATTCCCTCTAATGTTCGCATCTTACCTAACTAGAGTGCGATGATCTAAACCAGGACAAGTACTATACCTCGACATTCACTTATACAGTACTAATAACTGATTTATAGGCTTCATTCAAATTTTGCCAGTTGTCCCACTAATGTCCCCTTTCAGGTCTTGAATCCAACCCAGGATCCCACATAGCATTTACTCGTCATGTTTCATCAGGACCTAGGACAGTTCTCCAGTTCTTACCTTTCAGAACTTTGATACTTTTCTGAAGAGTACTGGCCAGTTTTGCTGTAGAGCGTGTAGAATGCCCCTCAGCTTGAGTTTGGCGTTTTCTCATAACTAAATTGCAGTCATGAATGCCATACAGGTGGTGCCTTGCCCTTCTCGTTGCATCATATCAGGAGGTAGGTGGAGTTGCCATGTCTTATTACTGGTGATGTTAACTGTGATCATTTGGTTAAGGTGGTAGCTGTCAGGTTTTCTAATATAAAGTTCTTATTGCATAACATTTAACGAATTTTTTTTTGAGATGGAGTCTTGCTCTGTTGCCCAGGCTGGAGTGCTGTGTCACAATCTCTGCTCACTGCAACCTCTGCCTCCTGGGTTCAAGTGATTCTCCTGCCTCAGCCTCTTAAGTACCTGAGATTACAGGCACTCACCATCACACCTGGCTAATTTTTGTATTTTTAGTAGAGATGGGCTTTCACCATGTTGATCAGGCTGGTCTTGAACTCCTGACCTTGTGATCCACCCGCCTCGGCCTCCTAAAGTGCTGGGATTGCAGGCGTGAGCCACAGCTCCCAGCCTGCATAACACTTTTAAAGATTCATGCTGTTGAATATATTAGCACTTTGATCTTCTTATTGCTGAAGAGTCTTCCTGGTATGGATAAAACACAATTTGTTTACCCATTTGTAAATTCATGGACATTTGGTTTGCTTCTACTCTTGGGCCTGGCACTTATCCAATAGGCCTTGTGGTGTTCTGTTGAACATAAAAACCATGTCACAGAGCACCGGTATCAGACAGGGCCACTGTGTCACCACGATGGGTCAGGACAAGAACAGGGCCACTCTGAATCATGTCTGAATCAGGACAGAAACAGGAACATTGTTGAAGCCACAAAAATGACCCAACATCCTCCCATTCTGCTACCATGAGGGACTGCAGCTTCTCAGCCATTCACAGCTTTAGCCTCACTTCATTCCTTCCACCTTTTAGATAAGATCCATTACAGCAAGCATCCAATCCAGAACATCCAATCCAGGTTCCAGGAACCTCTCCCCAACATGGCCTAACTCAAAGCCAAATCCTCTAATAAATCCATTCCCAGTTCCCAGCAGATGGTGCAGTTCTTCATGGCGTGTTCTCTCTCTTGCAACTTGTTTGAGTACAAGTGTGTTCCTTGGACTGGAAGGCACTGACAGTCCAAACAATATGTAAATACATATATTGAAAATCCTTGCTCAGCTCTAGTCTCCTTACACAGCATTTCCCACCCTACACGCTGTTCTTTGTACTAATGTCTTGTGAATTCTGTTTTGTTTTTTAAAGCAAATACAAGTAAGTTAAAGTATATTCTTTTATCCCCTTGCCTTTGTCTTACAAAATATAATTGTGGTAAAACACATGTAACAAAATTGAGCATTCTAACCATTATTAAGGGTACAGTTCAGTACATTCATGTTGTTGTGCAACTAGTCCCCTCAACTCATTTCATCTTGTAAAACTGAAGCTCCATACTCATTATTTTTAAGTATAGTTTGTGTTCTGTAAAATTAACCCTTTGTTAATGTTGAGTTCTATGAGTTTTGAAAGATATGATCATGTAACCACCACTATAATCAAGATAAAGGACAATACTATTGCCACAACACACACACACACACACACAAATCCTGCATGGCTTCCCCTCCCCCACTTTTATTTTTATTTTTGAGACCAAGTTTTACTTTTGTTGCCCTGGCAGGAGTGCAATGTCACAATCTTGGCTCATTGCAACCTCCACCTCCCAGGTTCAGGTGATTCTCCTGCCTCAGCGTCCTGAGTAGCTGGAATTACAGGTGTCTGCCACCATGCCTGACTAATTTTTGTATTTTTAGTAGAGACAGGGTTTCATCATATTGGTCAGACTGGTCTTGAACTCCTGGCCTCCCGTGATCTGCCCGCCTTGGCCTCCCAAAGTGCTGGGATTATAGGCATGAGCCACTGCACCCGGCCCACATGCCCCTTTTTGTTCACTCCTCCCCATTTTGCCAACCACCATTACATTTCCTGCCCTCATTGTTTTGTTTATTCCAGAACGTCATATAAGTAGAAACATATGTACGTTCTCTTTTATAGCAGCCATATTGCATATTGTGAATGTGCCATTGTTTATTGATCTGGACATCGAGGTTGTTTCTAGTCTTACACTGTTAACCACATGGTCTTACCTATTATCTGTAGATACATCATTTTGTGTGTGTGCAAGCCTAACTGTGGACAAAATTCCAGACTTCGGATTGCTGGGTCAGAGGGAAAATGTGTTTGTAATTTTGATAGTTTGTTCTCCAGAAAGATTATATCATTTGAGAAATGTGTTTTTCATATCCACAGATCAACCCTTCCCCTTTCTCTACCCCTTCCCCTACCCTGCCCCCTTCCCTTCCCTTTTCTTTCCTTTGAGACAGTCTCGCTCTCTCACCCAGGCTGGAGGGCAATGGTGTGATCTCAGCTCACTGCAACCTCCACCTCCCAGTTGAAGCAATTCTCCTGCCTCAGCCTCCCAAGTGGCTGGGATTACAGGCATTCACCACCATGCCTGGCTGATTTTTGTATTTTTAATAGAGAAGGGGTTTCGCCATGTTGGCCAGGCTGGTCTCAAACTCTTGACCTCAAGTGATCCACCCGCCTCAGTCTCCCAAAGTGCTGAGATTACTGGCATGAGCCACTGCGCCTAGCCACTATCCACGGTTCTTTAATCCTCAATTCTGCCAGCCATTTGGCTCACTAGGTGGAAGTCAGCTCTGCCAGTTATCAGTGTCATTGATCCAAATGTTGTCTTTCTCTATGTTTGTTTTCCTTTTATAAAATTCCCCAGATATAGACAAATGTTTACTAAATGTGCCTTAAGATCTACAAGTTCCTTTGACACAATGTCATCTTAATACTATTTGTTGTCACAATACACTTCTTCCCTTCAGAGTTTAGTTCTCAGTTAGAAATTACATTCTCATAGAGACTGTACTTTGAGCTTGATGCAGTGGCTCGTGCTTGGAATCCCAGCACTTTTGGAGGGCTAGGTAGATAGATGGCTTGAGCTCAGGAGATCAAGAACAGCCTGCCCAACGTGGTGAAACCTTGTCTCTACCAAAACTACAAAAATTAGCTGGGCATGGTGGCATGTGCCTGTAGTCCCAGCTACTGGGGAGGCTGGGATGGGAGGATTGCTGGAGCCCAGGAAGTCATCAGTAGTGGGCCATGATCACGCCACTGTGCACCAGTGCACTCCAGCCTGGGTGACAGAGCAAGGTCCTGTCCAAAATACAAGAAAGAAACTGTACGTTGACCACAAGTTCAGATACTAGTGGTGGTTTTCATACCTTTTTTTTTTTTTTTTTTTTTTTTTTTTTTGAGACAGAGCTTTTTTTTCTTGTTGCCCAGGCTGGAGTGTAATGGTACTATCTTGGTTCACTGCAACCTCTGCCTCCCGGATTCAAGTGATTCTTCTGCTTCAGCTTCCCAAGTAGCTGGTATTACGAGCATGGCACCACCACTCCCAGCTAATTTTTTGTATTTAACAGAGATAGGGTTTCACCATGTTGGTCAGCCTGGTTTCAAACTCCTGACCTCAGGTGATCCACCCACCTTAGCCTCCCAGAGTGTTGGGATTACAGGCTTGAGCCACTGCGCCTGGCCACATACCTTTTGGAAAGCAGCAAGTTTTCAAATGAATTCTCGTATCTAACCCTTTCACATGCATTTTAATGATCCTCAAACTTGAGTAGTTACTAGAAGCATTTGGAAATAGATGATGGGGTCCACCCTCAGTGTTTCTGATTCAGCAGGTCTGGGGTGGAGCCAGAGGTTGCATTTCTAACAAGATTTCAGGTGATACCAATGGTGCTGGTCTAGGGAACACACTTTGAGAAGCACTGCTCCAAGGCATCTCTGCACATCCTGGGAGCACTTGAGAACACAAATGGGAAACAGCCAGTTTAGAGGATGATCTGTTACTAAAGATTTTTTTAAAGGATGTTCATGTATGTGTGGCATGTGTGCATACTATACACAATGTGTTTCTATAATATAGAAAAAATATATATTTATAAATGTCTATATCTAAAAATATTTGCTGATTGTTTCTATCATATTTATTTGTGTGATTTTTCTAAAGCCTACCTTAAGCATTAGAACTACAAACAAACCCTGATGCGACCTCTCCAGATTGTCCCAAGTCGGTTGATTTCCCAGCTGTATTGTGGCCTGAAGCCTTCAGCCTCCACACGAAACCGGATTTGCCTGAAAATGGCTCGGCCAAGTTCAAGTAAGTCATTCTTACCTATCGCCTCACCAGCGGCTGAATGTGAAGTGCCCAAAAGTCCTACACTTGTATGTCTGTGTCAGATTAGGTGTTGGGCAAGATTTTGGAGAAAGCCACCCTGTCCTCTTCTCTTTTAAAGCGCGCCTTCTAGGGCGCCTTCAGAGCCTGTCTTCTTAATACTCACATTAAGTCCACCGAGGACATTTTGTTGCTTCTGCCAGAACATTTGCATTTAAGCTTTTGACACGTGTTTTGTTCTTTGAAGTCCTTCCCTCTCTGCAGGGGAGGAAAATTGGTGATTGTCCTATACGGCAGTGTGAGATTAAATTTTCTCCTGGACAGAAATATGTTGTAGCTATGCCTGGGAGAAACCAACAGATTAACCTGTCTGGACCCTGAGTCTATAGGAATGTAAAGTCTCACAAAGGTTTATATTCAGTGATTCTTAGGTGGGCCTGTTTAACAGTGCTTCAGAATGAAACTGAAAGGCCAAGCTGAATTCTTTGTGCTTCATTTTCAACTTTTGGATAACTTTTCGGCTCAGAGATAATAACTCCTGCTTCCATTTTGCCTCAGGAATGGAAAGGAACCGAAAGATCTCAGTTCCACTCCAGTGCACGTCCCATTGGTGTGCCCAGCTGTGTGGAGCAGGCTGCTAGAATCTGCGGCGGGTACAGAAGTGTGTGCCTGACCTCAGAGTGGGCCGCTGACATTTGAAACCACAAAACCTGCTGGCGTGTTTTCCTTTAGCCATTGGGAAATGTCTTTTTTTTTTTTTTTTTTTAGGATTTTATACCACATTAACATTTCTATATTTTACATCCTGTTTTCTAAGAACCAAACATAGGTTGACTTTTAAAATTTGTTTCTAAAAGTGACTTTAAGGGGTACCTTAATAGAAGTCACTCTGGCCAGCCTTACCAACGTGGAGAAACCCTGTCTCTACTAAAAATACAAAATTAGGCAGGCATGATGGCACATGCCTGTGATCCCAGCCTTTCGGGAAGCTGAGGCAGGAGAATCGCCTGAACCCAGGAGGCAGAGGTTATGGTGAGCTGAGATTGCGCCATTGCACTCCAAATGGCGACAAGAGCAAAACTCTGTCTTAAAAAAAAAAAAAGAAATCACTCTGACCTAAAAATATATGCATCAGGAGGTTGACAGTTTCTATTTGGGATAGAAAGGACCTTTAGGACTAGAGGGAGTTTTAGGGGTAGATTTTGAAGTCCTTAAGGATGTTCCTATGAGTTGAACCTAGGGAAGTATGTTACGTTTTTTATTAAGCATCTTGTTCTTTCAAGAGATTATATCAGATTAGAAACTGGAATCCACCCAGGTCAAGTTTGTAATTTTTCCAAATGCTTCCTGTTTGGATGACATTAGCCTGCCTGTAGTAGGCCTTATCTGTCTGCTGATAGATAGCAGCCTATCTCGGGAAGGGATATAAGTTCAGGTGGGGCTTTAGCGTGATTGCTGCGGTAGTGGGGTTAGTTGCACCTCACGAGAATGGCATGTTGTGACTGTCCTAATTTGTCTCTGCCTTATGCTGCCAGAACATGAATGGAGCCCAAGAGGAAAAAGCCTACTCTTCCTCTAAGTACATTATTACCAGGAGTCCATGGTAGGGAAGAGAATAAGGAAAGGGGAGGGGGGGCTGAGCCCTTATGAACAGTCTCTATCCTAGGCTGGGCAGAGTGTGTGGCTCTTGGCTTAGAAGGACCAGGAAGTCCCATCCCTGCTTAGAGGGAGTCAACCATACATGAGAAACCAGTAGGATGCCCCTTATGGCTGGGATACAAAATGAGGCCAGGTTCCCTTTAATATTCAGGTTCACCATCTCCAAGCCCCCATCCCACCATCTTTCTTCTTGCAGGCTTCCTGTCTGTCACTGGTCCCATCTATCAGGGGAGGGTTAGCTTCCCCTCATTCATTCAGTCCAAGGGTTAGCCTTGGTTGCCATTCTTTCAAGAGAGGAAGGCCAGGAAGCCAGCTTAGTCAGCTGAGGAATGCAGTTCCACGTTTGCTGGAATCCTTAGTGCTTTAACACAGCTTGGCCATCCTTGGAAGATCTCCATATCCAGGGCGGGGCATTCCCTGCTTCAGTGTCTTGGGCCTGCAGCAGGCAATGAGGTACAGCACTCACTTCTCCAGGGGTAGGGCAGAAAAGGGGCTCTCTCTTCTCCTCCTGGCAGCTTATGTTCGGTGCTATACCCCTTAATTCTGGCTTTCCAGGGCCGTAGCACTTACCTAACATACAGGGGCCTGCACAGCTGTAGTGTCTGGGACAAAAGAGGAGACCAGCTGTGTCCCAGCCTTTTCCAGTTTCTGTTGTCCAGCAGAAACAATGGCAGCTCCCCCATCGTGAGTTCCAACTCTGGCTCCTGCTTCTTGTTCTGGGATGAGGAGATTTGTTTCAGGGGAAAGCATCCCATCTTGTGATCCATGTAAAGTGTTTGGCGTAGCACTTGGGGTGCAGGGAGCCCTCACCATCGTAGCTGCTGCCCCTGCGGGTCTGTGTTCAGGCAGGAGGCTGCCTGGGGTTCCAGGACGGGAGGGCAAGCCCTGGTCTGTGTCCACAATTACTTCCTCTAGTGTTACTCTCTGTGCTCAGTTCCCTCTGCTACCCCAAGTCTCTGGCAGTGTCCTGTTGAAAAGTTTGGCTCTTATTTGAGTTGTCAAGAAGGTCGTGTGCCCTCAAATAAGGCCCTTGTCCTCTCCTTTAGTTGCTGTGCTGAGGGAAGCCGAAATTAGCAAGATCCCCAAAGGGAAGGTGAATTTAGGGAGGAAGGATAGGCTTTGGGGTACAGTAGGCCTCAACTCAGCACTCACACAAACATACAGTCTTGTTTTTCCTTTTATGAAGGAAGATGGATTCCTTCTAGGCTTTTTTTTTTTTTTTTCTTTTTAATGGAGTCTCGCTCTGTCCGCCCAGGCTGGCGCAGTCTTGGCTCACCGCAACCTCCGCCTCCTCAGTTCAAGCTATTCTCCTGCCTCAGCCTCCCGAGTAGCTGGGATTACAGGCACCCACCACCGTGCCCAGCTAATTTTTGCATTTTTAGTAGAGACGGGGTTTCACCATGTTGGCCAGGCTAGTCTCGAACTCCTGACCTTGTGATCCGCCTACCTCTGCCTCCCAAAGTGCTGGGATTACAGGTGTGAGCCACCGTGCCCAGCCCCTACTAGGCTTTTTAAAAATCTTTGTAAAATCCCTGCTCTAGGGAAGGCACTACTGTGTACCTCAAAGAGCCAAGGAAACTGAGGATGGAAAAAACTAAGTAATTTGCATAAGATCACACATTTGGTTGGGAGGCAGAACTGAGATGCAAAGCCAGCTTTGTGTGCCCAAAGCCTCTGCTTTTTTAAAATATTATATACTCACCCAGCAGGCCTTCACGGGATGGTGTCTTTATGGTATAGGAATTGATGTTTGTATATCTTAAAGTATGATTTCACACTAGGTCAAGTTTCAAGATATAGACAATTGATATGGGATACAAATGTCCAAATGGTACACTGGACTGATAAAGATTTTATTCTGTTTAGGTATGGCAGATTTTCGGAAGTGTTTTGCAAAATCAAAGCACATAGTCATCATCTCAGGGGCTGGTGTTAGTGCAGAAAGTGGCGTTCCGACTTTCAGAGGAGCTGGAGGTTATTGGAGAAAATGGCAAGCCCAGGTTAGTAATGTTTCCAGAACATTAAAAGACTCTCTCAAATGAAACCGTAACAGTTTGACTCAGATCCTATACCGAACCCTGAAACCCGGGGGAAATGTTTTGGAAGTTAACTATGACCCTATTGTCCCATTGCTTTTGGCATAAACACAAAGTTCCTATGAGTAAGATAAAATTTAAGTAAGGCTGCTACTGTCCTTTTTAGATATGTATAGATTGCATTAATTCAGATATCAGTTTCTCCTAATAGTTATGCTAAAATGAAATCAGAAAACTGTGGTTAGCATCTTCCATTACTTTTCTAAAGTTATTGAACTTAAGTATGACAAAGTTTCTGTGAAGTTTCATTTTAAAACTAATGTTGATTATTGAAGGATTAGGGTTCGATATTCAAAAATCTATAGGAAAACCTTCAGAATGTAAGTTTTGTGAAGGTATGGATTTTTTTTTTTTTTTGAGACGGAGTTTCGCTCTTGTTACCCAGGCTGGAGTGCAATGGCGCGATCTCGGCTCACCGCAACCTCCGCCTCCTGGGCTCAGGCAATTCTCCTGCCTCAGCCTCCTGAGTAGCTGGGATTACAGGCACGCACCACCACGCCCAGCTAGTTTTTTTGTATTTTTATTAGAGACGGGGTTTCACCATGTTGACCAGGATGGTCTCGATCTCTCGACCTCGTGATCCACCCGCCTCGGCCTCCCAAAGTGCTGGGATTACAGGCTTGAGCCACCGCGCCCGGCCTAGGTATGGATTTTTTTAATTCAATTTTTTTTTAGATCTAATATAAATAAAGTAAAAGTCACCAATTTTAAGTGTACAATTTAATGAGTTTTAACAAATGGACATAGTTGGATAGCCAGCACCATAATCGCAATGTAGAACATTTCTGTCCCTTCAGGACATTCCCTCATGGCCCTTTGTAGTCTGTGCTCGCCCATCCCACTGGCTCAGGAAATCCCTAGCTTTGGAGGACAAGGAATTGTTTATTTGTTCGTTTATGAGATGGAGTTTTGCTTGTTGCCCAGGCTGGAGTACAACGGCATGATCTCGGCTCACTGCAGTCTCCATCTCCCAGGTTCAAGTGATTCTCCTGCCTCAGCCTCCCTAATAGCTGGGATTACAGGCATGCACTGCCACCCTCCACTAATTTTTGTATTTTTAGTAGAGACGGGGTTTCACCACATTGGCCAGGCTGGTCTTGAACTCCTGACTTCAGGTGATCTGCCTGCTCGGGCTCCCAAAGTGCTGGGATTACAGGCGTGAGCCACCACACCAGGCCTCTGTTTTATTCATTGCCCTGTCTCCAGCTCCCAGAACTCTGGCACATTATAGGTGCTTAATAGATTTTCGTTGGTTGAACGAAGGCAGTCATAAATAAGTACTGCAATACATGTCTTCCAGGATTAGTGGTTTATTTCTCACTGAATATAGAGTTCATGAACCTGCCCCTTCCTTCTGAATCGCTGAGGCTGGCAGATGTTTGGATATTTTGCCTCCTGCCTTCGGCCCTCTAGGTGAAGGGTGGGGGTTGTTACCTTAAAGGTGAAGTGGGGGAGAAAAGAGAGCAGAGAACATTAGGGGCCAGCAAGAAAGAGGAACCACAGGGCAGTCCCTTGATTAGCAGCAGAGGGTGGGAGGTCAGAGGGTGTGGGAGGAGCTTGGAAGACGGGTGCTTAGTTGTGTCCAAAAAAGCTCAAAGTTTGTGGACTAAGCATAGATGGAAGTAGACAGTATGTATTTGACTCCAACCTCCTTCCAAGGACACCTGGGGACATGTTCGTGTGCCACCTATAAACTGCTCCAGGCCGTGTGTTCTACATGGAGAGCAAGCCCCCCATGTGGCAAAGGCTGACATTGCCCCCGAGCAGCGGGGCCTTTACAGTAGAATGAAATGCACACGTGTTCAATGTAGAAAGCATCTCCTTCATAGAGAAGCCATGCTTCTTTTTTAAATTGTTATTGAGGCAGAATTTCCTTAGAATAAAATGAACGCGTGTGCATTGTGTGTATAGTTTGATGAGTACCCCCACCTCCACTGTCAAGAAACAGAACGTTTCAGTCCTATGCCTTTCCCTGCCAGCTCCCAGCTCAACCTCTACTCGGCTCCTTTTTCAGAAAGGAGGTTTGTCTCTCCTAGAACCATATCTGAAGTATATGTATTTTATCTGTTCTGTTTATATATAATATACACTTTTTATGTGTAGTTGTGTGTGTTTAGTTGTGTGTATAGTTGTATGTATTTGTAGCTGTGTATGTGTGTAGATGTGTGTAGTTGTGTGTGTATTAACAGATATATGTAGTTGTATATGTTTAGTTTTAGTGTATGTTGTGTAATTGTATGTTTAGATGTGTATGTTTAGTTGTGTGTGTGCACTTGTGTGTGTAGATGTGTATCGTTTTGTGTATGTTGTGTGTGTTTAGTTTTGTATGTACACTTGTGTGTGTATGTAGATGTGTGTAGTTGTGTGTGTAGTTGTGTGTGCAGTTGTATGTATGTAGATGTTTGTAGTTGTGTTTATATTTAGTTGTGTGTGTGCAGTTGTATGTAGATGTGTGTAGTTGTGTATGCAGTTGTATGTAGATGTGTGTGTATGTTTAGTTGTGTGTGTGTAGTTTGTGTGCAGTTGTGTATGTAGATGTGTTTAGTTGTGTGTGTGTATGGTGTGTGTAGTTGTGTGTATATGTTTAGTTTTGTATGTATGTAGTATGTATGTGTGTAGCTGTGTATGTTTAGTTTGTGTAGTTTGTGTGTGCAGTCGTGTGTGTATATAGATGTCTTTAGCTATGTGTGTGCAATGTATATGTAGATATGTGTAGTTTTATGTGTGTTTAGTTTGTAAAGTTGTATGTTTAGTTGTTTGTGTGTATAGTTTATGTATAGGTGTGTAGTTGTGTGTATGTGTTTAGTTGTATGTATGTAGTTATGTGTATGTGTGTATGTTTAGTTGTGTATAGTTGTGTGTGTGCAGCTGTGTGTAGATGTGTGTAGTTTGTGTAGTTGTATATGTGTGTTAAGCTGTGTGTGTGCAGTGTATATGTAGATGTGTATAGTTGTGTGTGTGTTTAGTTTGTGTATGTAGTTGTGTGTATGTGTGTAGTTGTGTATAGGTGTGTGTGTAGTTGTGTGCATGTGTGTAGTTGTGTATAGGTGTGTGTGTAGTTGTGTGCAATTGTGTTTGTAGATGTGTGTAGTTTGTGTAGTCATGTATTTAGCTGTGTGTGTGCAGTGTATATGTAGATGTGTTTAGTTAATTTGTGTAGTTATGTATATGTTTAGTTGTGTGTACATAGATGTGTGTAGTTGTGTATCTTTGTGTGGTTGTATATGTTTAGTCGTGTGTATGTCTAGTTGTGTGTATGTGTATGCAGTTGTATGTGTAGATGTGTGTAGTGTGTACGTATGTTATGTATGTGTTGTGTGTATGTATAATTGTGTGTGTAGTGTGTATGTTGAGGTGTGTATGTGTAGTTGTATGTTGTATGTGTAGTTGTGTGTGTAGTGTATATGTTGAGGTGTGTGTAGTTGTGTGTATGTTGAGTTGTGTATGTGTAGTTGTGCATATGTATGTTGAGTTGTGTGTAGTGCATATGTATGTTGTGTGTAGTTGTGTGTGTGTATGTTGAGTTGTGTGTAGTTGTGTGTATGTATAGTCGTATGCATGTAGTTGTGCATGTAGTTGTGTGTATGTATGTTTAGTTGTGTGTATAGTTACATGTGTATAGATGTGTGTAGTTGTGTGTGTGTGTAGAGCCGTAGCTATAGTTATAAAAACTAAGTTTCTCAACCATGGTCATTAGACCTCAATAGGCATTTTGCATTTTATGTTTTTCCTGGGTGTAGGTCAAAATGAGATCCTCTTCATATGTTTTAGAGCTCCATGAAAAAGGGGATTTGACCCAAAATACTTTCCTGCGTATTACTTTACTTCATGTTCACAACTTATTTTGTAGCGGGGAATGGGATAGGTTACATCCTCCCTGCCTTGTCACTAAGGAAATTGATTTCTCCAAGATCCCAAGGCAGTCCCAGGATGGGGACATAGGCTGGTGCCTAGGCCCTGCCACGTGGCATCTGCCATGTTGTTTGAACCTAGTGCCTCGACCTCCAGCCTGCACCCTCCCAATGCTGCTTGTTTCTGCCTTAGGGAGGAAGGGCCTGTGCCCAGGGTTTAGCATCCTGGCTGCCTCTGCCTCCCTCACTCCCACCTCCTCTCCCACCCTCAGGATCTGGCGACTCCCCTGGCCTTTGCCCACAACCCATCCCGGGTGTGGGAGTTCTACCACTACCGGCGAGAGGTCATGGTGAGCAAGGAGCCCAATGCCGGACACCGTGCCATAGCAGAGTGCGAGGCCCGGCTGGGCAAGCAGGGCCGGCGAGTCGTGGTCATCACCCAGAACATCGATGAACTGCACCGCAAGGCTGGCACCAAAAACCTTCTGGAGCTCCATGGTGAGGTACCCCCAGCCTCATGTTCAGGGAACCAGCTTTAGAACACCTGCCCTGCCATTTCAGCATCACCTCTGTTGGCTTCCCTCCCTCCCTGCGGACACCCATCTTGTCCTTTAGGATGCTGTGGCATTTCCTTCCGAGACATGTTAGTGCCCTGTGGCACCTGGGCAGCTGCCTTTGGCCACGGGAGGAGCCCTGACCCACTGACATTCACTTGGCAGTTCCTACATCTTCACTGCTCAGTGTGGTCTGAAAGCCAGCAACGTTTGGCATCCTCTGAGAGCTTGCTAGAAATGCAGAATCTCAGGCCCCATCAGACCCACCAAACAGAATCTGCATTTTCCCATGAGCCCAGGTGGCTGAAGTGCCTTTTACACTGGAGGAAGGTTGGGCTGCACAGCTGTGTGACCCCTGCCTCTGTAGAGGGGTGCAGTGCTGTGAGACAATGGCCTCACTGAGCCAAGGAACAGAAGGCCTGGCCCATTGGACAGCCAGGGCTTGAGCAGGATCGGGCAGGGGCAGGCTATGATATCTGGGGGTCTCCTCTCCCTCTCTCTTCGCCCCAGTGGGCACTCCCCACTGAGACTGTGCTTCTGTCTCACCCTGGAACCTCAGGGAGCTGCCAGCTCAGCACCAGGTACTGCACCAACCCCACCTAGCCTGTGACGTCAGTGGAGTTTGTCTTGTGTCCCTATGGCCTCCTTCCTCTGTCCTGGGTGACCCCTCACCTCTTCACTCTGTCTTCTGGCTCCTCCCTTCTTTGCTGTCACCCTAAATCTAATACATCCATTCTTCCATGGTCACAATGGGCAAACTAGGGTTTCTCCTGAAGCCGCTTGCATTTAAAGAGTCTGTATTCAAATCCAAGGAATGCATTTCTTATATTTTAAGAATTTATTTCTCTTAATTTATTTTTTTGAGGTGGGAGTTTCATTCTTGCCCAGGCTGGGGTGCGTTGCCTGATCATAGCTCATTGCAGCCTTGAAGTCATGGTCTCAAGGGATCCTCCCACCTCAGCCTCCAGAGTAGCTGGGACAACAGGCCCATGCCACTATGCCCAGCTAATTAAAAAAAAAATTTTTTTTGTAGAGATGGTGTCTCACCATATTGTCCAGGCTGGTCTCGAACTCTTGGCCTCAAGTAATCCTCCCTCCTCAGCCTCCTAAAGTTTTGGGATTACAGGCGTGAGCCACTGCGCCAGCCAATAATGCATTTCTAAGTGTAGAATTTCCAGAGGCAGTGCACCAGTGGGGGGGTGTTTGCTTTTGGGTGTGTGTGGTGAAGCTGCCTCCTTTTACATAGGTCACACTGATAAAGACAGGGATACACTACTCACTTCGACCTTGTTTCTCTTTTGTGTGCTAGGAACAGTCAGCCACCTATTAACTGAACATCTTTTTGGTGCCTACATCTGCTGGGTCTGAGCCACTTTCCACGTGCCTCTGCTTATTTCCCTGCAATGTCAGAAGGTGGGCTAGTCATCAGCATAAAACGGAGATGACAATGCCTATTTTACAGAATTGTTGTGCAGGTTAAATAAGATCATATATACGTGTTAGGACTTTTTTTTTAGTTTCAAATGATGAGAACTCTCTTCTAACCTACGTTAAAAAAAAAATCAGTGGCATCTTCTGTCTGATGAAGGTTTTTTGTTTTTTTTTTAAGATGCATCATGTTTTTAATGTGGCACTTAGAAAATAATCTGCCTAAACCATGATATACTATGTTATTATCCCTTAGAATTGTTATTTTATACTTAGAGAAAGAGCTTATTAAAACTTAGACACCTTCTTTAGAAATTTTATCTTTCCAGGCATACATAAAGTATGAGTATAATAAACTGGTCCAAATATTTCTCATTATCTAGCTCTTCTGAGTGATCCTGAGTGACTCAGAGCATGGATGGGTCTGTGTTTTCCATGCAGTTTCACGCTCTGTACCTCAGGAGATGGATGATGCAGCCTTTCTTGAGAGAATGCCCCTCTGTTACAGCTGGGATTCCCATCCAAGCTCCTGACACACACTCTGCAGGTGTGCTATTGAGCCTTTCATGCTCTTACCAAAAGGTGTCAGTGGAAAGGCTGTATGTAGACACAGCCAGAACTTGCTTTGCTCCCTGAAGTGGCCCTTGAACGGTTTGTTGGTGGAAGTATCCCGAAGTTGTATCTGCCTGGTCAGGCCACGGAGAATAACAACCAAGTCACCCCACTTTTCAGTGTTCTCCTTCAACAAGTCTGCAAGCATGTTGGCGAGGTCACACTCTCATCTGGCCAGTAAATGGTAGGACACATCTGAATTTCAGAGATGTGAAAATGGGAAAAAATGTCTATACTAAAACTGACAAAATAGGTTTATTGGCTCACAAAACCGAGGAGCCTTGGGGTGTAGCTGATGTCATCTTTTCTTCTGGCCACTGTCCCACTCCTTCTCTCAGTCTTGCTCACTCTTTGAGGTGACCTCCCTTTTCCCTCTGCAACTGATTTGCCTCCACGCGCCAGAGGAGAGGGCCTCTGATGGTTTCAGGCTCTCCAGCTCAGCCACCTGCTCAGAAAATAAACCTCTGGGTGGGCTTTCTTGGTCCACATGCCCACCCTTCTGACCTAACGAGACTGCAGAGGGATGGGCATCACATGGGACCTGTGTGGAGCATGTGGTCAAGCTTATATTTGGGATGTGACCCATAGCCCGATTGGCTCAGCATGGGAGAGAGCAGGGATGGTACTCCCCAAGGAAGGACTGGTGGGCAGAACAGAGCAGCGCATGCCCACTGTGGTTTAAAGTGCTCTGCATGGCACCAGGTGCCTGGCCACCATTTCATAAACTGTGGCCACCATGATTGCTTCAGCTCAATAAGTGGTCGCTAGTATTAACAATTACATTTTTCATTTATTAGTTGATTACTTATTTATTGAGCTGCTTTTGTATAAAAGATTCAAGCTTTCTGAAATCAAAGTTAAGATTTTGTAAACATATCCCATACCACTGAACCTGTATCAGTCATATCAGTAAATTATGTCCTTAGATTTAGGTCAGGCTCCCTCTACCCTGTTGGCCACTTGCGCCCACTTGAACACCACTCCAAGGTCATCTGGCGGCACATTGTCAGGGAGTTAGTTATTTATCATCCAGACTATAAAATCCTTGAGGGCATGTGCTCTTGACTGGCTTAAGAGTACTGCATGCCTCTCTGTTTCCCATGAAGGCTAGGGTAGGCCCATTTGCTAAACTGAAGTATGGCTCAGTGTGGCAGTGCACACTTGTAGTCCCAGCTACTCAGGAGGCAAAGGTGGGAGGATTGCTTGAGCCCAGGAGCTGGAAGCTGCAGTGAGCTATGATCGTACTACTACACTCCAGCCTGGGTAACTGGATGAGACCAAAAAATGAAATGAAGTGTGTCCCTTTTAGACATGCAGACAGTTGCTCTTGATTATCCTAAATTCTGGACTTGCTTCATATGTATTTTTCAGGTAGCTTATTTAAAACTCGATGTACCTCTTGTGGAGTTGTGGCTGAGAATTACAGAAGTCCAATTTGTCCAGCTTTATCAGGAAAAGGGTAATTATACCACACTACAGAATAAGTATATGTTGCTTTCTCCTTTAGGTTGAATATAAATGTTAGGAAATTGAACATTCACCAAAGATTCCCATGGATATTTATGAGAAATAAGACTAAATACCAGGCTGGGTGCAGTGGCTTACGCCTGTAATCCCGGAACTTTGGGAGGCCAAGGTGGGAGGATTGCTTGAGTTCAGGAGTTCAAGACCAGCCTGGGCAACATAGTGAGACAGCTGTCTCTACCAAAACAAAACGAAACAAAACAAAACAAAACAAAACAAAACAAAAATTAACTGGGTGTGCTGGCACTTGCCTGTAGTCTCAGCTACTAAGGAGGCTGAGGTGGTTGGGTTAGTTGAGCCTGGGAAGTTGAGGCTGCAGTGACCGAGATCTTGCCACTGTACTACAGCCTGGGTGACAGAGGGAGACCCTGTTTCAAAAAAAAACATATGAAAAACAAAAAAGACTAAATATAGCCATGTGCTAAAAGAAATATTTTGCTCACAACTTACAGTGTTAAGAGAAAACCACAGGGTCCTGAAGTTATACAGTATGATCCCAGCTTTGTATTAAAACACACACACACATACTCTCTCACATACACACAATGAGTTTGTATATCTGTATATAGTTAAAATACAACAAAATGTTAATAAGGAATATCAGGAGTGGTGGGATTATGGTAATTTTTAATTTCATTTTTGTATCTTTCTGAATTTTCCTACATTTCTGTGATGAACATGTGCTATTATTACAATGAGGAAAAAATTTGAGGGTAGACCCAGTATTGAGAAAAATTCCACTGAGCCATTTTAAAATAGTGTAAATTGTATATGACCATATAATGTGATTGCAGAGGATACAGAGTCTTGCTCTGTTTCCCAGGCTAGAATATAGTGGTACAATCACAGCTTACTGCAGCCTCCGCCTCGTGGGCTCAAGCAATCCTCCTGCCTTAGCCTCCCAAGTAGCTAGGACTACAGGCACGCACCACCACACTGAGCTAATTTTTGTATTTCTGGTAGAGGTGGAGTCTCACTATGTTGCCCAGGCTGGTCTTGAACTTCTGGCCTTAAGCAGTCCTCCCACTTTAGCCTCCTGAAGTGCTGGGATTCTAGGCATGAGCCTCTGTGCCCAGCACCACTGGAAATTAATGGCTTGGGGACCTTCCTTCTAATGCCCTTCCAACTAAGCATGTATTACTTAGGAGTTTTATATCACATATTGCCAGGCAAATATACAAACTGAGTTATTTTATTTATTTATTTTTTGATTATGCCAATAACAATCTTTCTTGTCTAATATTATTTACTTCAGTGCTCCAGAACCTGGAACTCAAGATGCCAGCATCCCAGTTGAGAAACTTCCTCGGTGGGTAAAAAACTCTGATTTGTGCTAGTGCTCCAGGTTATGAAAAAATATATATATATATAGACATTGAAACCTAAACATGTATTTGGTAAGATGCCTCTTAAACCAAGTGCACAAACGTAAAAACTAGCCTTGACCTCTGAGACCAAAAGTGAAAGGACAAAGGATGAACCAAATCAGGATGAAAGGAATGGTTTCTTTCCAACCCCTTTTAGCTTTGTGTTCTGGTGGGTTCATTTGAGGTTGGGAAAGTTTCTGAAGCTGTTGTGCGACAGGTGGTTACGCAGTATACAGAAAGCACAGGAGCTGACCTGTGACTGGTCAGATAACATCACTGGCAGTATTAAGCCAAAAGACCTGAATAGGAGAGGTTACAGGACTAAACAGAATGTTTGTAGATAATAAAAAAAAAAAAAAGGAAGATTTTTATGCCCATTTTTCAAAACCAGACATTAAAATAGCACTTCCATAATCTGTAATTGGATTAGAGGTTTTTTGTTTGTTTGTTTGTTTTGTTTTTGTTTTTGAGATGAAGTCTCACTCTGTCACCCAGGCTGGAGTGCAGTGGTACTATCTTGGCTCACTGCAACCTCCACCTCCTGGATTCAAGCGATTCTCCTGCGTCTGCTTCCTGAGTAGCTGGGATTACAGGGGCACCCCACCATGCCCAGCTTATTTTTGTGTTTTTAGTAGAGATGGGGTTTCGCTGTGTTGGCCAGGCTGGCCTCAAGCTCTTGACCTCAGGTGATCTGCCCACCTCAGCCTCCGAAAGTGCTGGGATTACAGGTGTGAACCACCGCACCTGGCTGGAGTAGAGTTTTGTTTTTTAAAGTAAAATAAAAGAGCACTTCTAAAAGTATTCCGTAGAACATTAATTTAATGTGACGTTTGCGGACACTACTTGAAAAAAACATGTTAGGCACTCACATAAATATGGAAATATTAGACTAAACAAAGTTAAAATATATTTGCTTTGCTGCAGGACTTTTCAGAGCATTTAATCCACATTGCTGCCTTCTAAAAAGTGGTTATAATATGTATGTTAATACTTTACTGGCTTAACCACAGAACCTTTCTTATTTTCCTTATGAAGGTTTTAATTGCCACATTTTAAAGTTTTCTTCTGAAGAAATAGGGAGACCTGGAGGATTCCTCTGATGTAGGAGATGACTATGATGAAAATGGTCTTTGGGAGGATGATTTTAGGAGGTGTATAAAAGGTGACCCCGAGGTACAAGGGAGTGAAAGATGAGAGATTTTGGTAATGGACACAGGAGAGCTAGCTACGTACTGGGCCAGAGATGTGAACTGAGACAACATGAAAGGAGGTCATCGATGAAATCGGGGATGCTTGGGGTGGGAGGCAAATCTGAGTCCAGTGTGACTCCCAGGTCTGGGGAGCTGTGAGCACAAGTGTGAGCATAATGAAGGAACTGGGAAAGCTTAGTTGAAACAGTGTGTCAGCACTTTATAAACAGATAAGATAAAAAATGAGGCCAGTTCAACCTGATGCTTCATATACAAGGCAAGTTTATATAGGCTGGAAGGGAGGGCATAGGGAATAAGAGGCATTAGAGAGACCCATCTGGACGTACTGGGTTTTGGGCAGCCCCTGGCCTCCCTCCAATCCAGCTGGGCAGACTCAGCTCAGGGTTGGCTTAAGGGTCCCATTTTTCCAGGTGTGAAGAGGCAGGCTGCGGGGGCTTGCTGCGACCTCACGTCGTGTGGTTCGGAGAAAACCTGGATCCTGCCATTCTGGAGGAGGTTGACAGAGAGCTCGCTCACTGTGACTTATGTCTAGTGGTGGGTCATGTCCTTCCCTAACCCCAAGACAAGACTGGAGTTTGTCGTGACTTTTTCCTTCCCCCTCTCCTCTTTTTCTTCCTCTCTCCCTTGCTGCTTTTCTTCCTACCTTCTCTGCTTCCTCCCTTTCTTTCTTTCCTTAAAATGTATGTTGAAAAGTTTTTGTGGTATCATATAAAAAAAACTGAGAAACGATGAGTGATAATTTCGATTAAAATAGGAAACTATGGGCCAGGCGTGGTGGCTCATACCTGTAATCCCAGCATTTTGGGAGGCTGAGGCAGGTGGATCATTGGAAGTCAGGCATTCGAGACCAATCTGGCCAATATGGTGAAACCTTATCTCTATTAAAAATACAAAAAAAATGAGCCAGGCATGGTGGCACACGCCTGTAATCCCAGATACTAGAGAGGCTGCGGTGGGAGTATTGCTGGAACCCAGGAGGCAGAAGTTGCAGTGAGCTGAGATCAAGTCACTGTACTCCAGCCTGGGCGACAGAGGGAGACTCCATCTCAAAAATAAATAAATAAAATAGAAAACTATGCAAGACCACGTCTTGGGCATCTCAAAGCCTTCTCCCCAGCCCCACCAAAAAAAAAAAGAAAAGAACATGCTGTTGGTTTTTAAAATAATATATGATCATGATTAAATTTAATTGAGAATATGCAAAAAACGTATCATATTATAAAGAGGAAATTTCCCATATTTCTGAAATCTGCCATAATTCTGCTATCCGGAGATAGTTACTGTTAGCAGTTGAGTATGTTTTCTTCTAGACCAGGGGTGAGCAAACAGCAGCCTTTGGGTCAAATTGGGTCTGCTACTTGTTTTTGTAAATAGAGTTTTATTGGAACTCAGCCACACTGATTATTCTGCACAACTGTCTATGACTACTTTCAAACTACAGTGGCAGAGTTGAGTACTTGTGACAGAGACTGAATGGCCTGCAAAGCCTGAAAAATTTACCGTATGGTCCTTTTCAGAATAAGTTTGCCCACCTCTGGACTAAACCTTTTCTTATGTAGATGTACACGTATTAATTAAAATTCAAAACCGAATTCATGACGTACATTCTATTTGGAAACGAGTCACCCAGCAGTTCACTTAGCATATTCCATGTCAGTACATCTAAATCAATATCATCTTTCAGTTGACTGCATGGTGTTTTATATGGATTCGGAATGATATATTTAGCAGCTAATTCTCTATTGCAAGCCATTTGGGCTATTTCAAATTTTGATATTTTAAGCAATGCTATCATGAATATCCTTACATAGAAATCTTAGCATGCTCTTCAGATGATTTCCCTAGAACACATTTTCTAAAAGTGGGATTAATTGGATAAATTGTATGCATATTTCCAAATTTTCTTGACATGTCTTTAAAAGCAGAGGTACTTTCTTGTGGTATGTATTCATTCAGCCGGTATTTAAAGAGTTCTTCCCAGTGTCCGAAGAGTGTCACTGTTGATGATGGATTGTTAAATGAGCAAAGCTGGTTTACAAAACAGGTCATGGTCTTCTCCTCCCTGAAAAGAATGTTCATAAGCAAATATTTGTAAGAAAAAACCTAAGAGGACACACATGAAAATGTTAACAGTGGTTATCTTGGAATAAGACTATGGATGACATGTATGTTTTTTCTTCGTATTTTCTACCTTTAACAAAAAAGTAGAAAATATGTTTTAAAAGTTATGGATCATTTGCATAACTGTATTTTATTTATTTATTTATGTTTGATATGGAGTCTTACTCTCTCACCAGGCTGGAGTGCAGTGGCTCGATCTCGGCTCACTGCAACCTTCGCCTCCAAGGTTCAAGTGACTCTCCTGTCCCAGCCTCCCGAGTAGCTGTGACTACAGGCATGCACCACCATGCCCAGCTAATTTTTGTATTTTTAGTAGAGACGAAGTTTCACCTTGTTGGCCAGGATGGTCTCGATCTCTTGACCTTGTGATCTGCCCACCTCCGCCTCCCAAAGTGTTGGGATTACAGGCATGATCCACCACGCCCAGCCTTGCATAACTTTAAAAAGCAGAAACAAAACCAGAATTACCTCCAAAATATGTTGATGGGGTCATTTCTCTGTCACTTCTTTTCACAACTCTCCTTTTTATGTCACACGTTCTTCTCGATTCTTGTGATTGATCAAAGGACACCTCTTAACTTTCCCTTGTCCCTTGGACACTCTGTTTTATCCCATACTGTTTGGCTTTTCTCACACCTGCACCACAGACCTGCCTGAGTTTATGTAAGGTTTTCTGAAAAAATGTTCCTACTCCTTGTTGTGTGGCCCTTTGTGCATCTCCGTGTGCTTGTCTTGTAGGTGGGCACTTCCTCTGTGGTGTACCCAGCAGCCATGTTTGCCCCCCAGGTGGCTGCGAGGGGTGTGCCAGTGGCTGAATTTAACACGGAGACCACCCCAGCTACGAACAGATTCAGGTACCGGGATAGCCTGGTGGGAGAGGGAGACGTGGGAGGCAGGTGCAGACATGGTCCTCTCCACATAGTTTACCTACTCCCCTAATTTTAACAAAAGACACGGGGTTTGTGTTTCGTTTTGTTTTGTTTTTTGATCAGCAATTGTTTTACGGAAGAACAAAATCATTCGTTATAGACTAAGGTGGATAGCCCTGTCACTGCACGTGAAATTTACTGCGGGACTTTAGTTTGTTTATGTTTTGAAAACTCTTCTTTGATTGCTTAGGCTTTGCTTTGCCTTACGTCTTTAAGGTAGATTTAGTGATGGCCTTTAGTTGTAAGTTACCCAGATGCTCCACAAGTGAGCCTGGGAGATGCCCTTGTAGAACCTCATCACCTGTCATTCTCACTGGGAGGCCACCTGGCAGATTCCCCTTTGGTCTAATTGCCAAGGTTATTTGTATCTGTGGCCATACTATGACACTGATCCTGCTTCCCAGGTTTGGGTGGAAAGTGTAGGTCATCATACTGTACATTTTTAGTCTTACTCTGGGCTCTGTTTTAGGTCTTCACCCTTATTGTTTTTTTTTTTTTTCTGCAACCTCCACCTCCCAGGTTTAAGTGATTCTCCTCAGCCTCCTGAGTAGCTGGGACTACAGGCACATGCCACCACTCCTAGCTAATTTTTGTATTTTTTTTAGTAGAAACAGAGTTTCACCACATTGGCCAGGCTGGTCTCAAACTCCTGACCTTGTGATCCACCTGCCTTGGCCTCCCAAAGTGCTGGGATTACAGGTGTGAGCCACCAAGCCTGGTCCCTTGTTCTTTTTTCTCACCTCTACTTTTTTTGCCTTTACTTCTAATTCTTGTCCATCTAGTTATTTACCTTTGAATAAGTTAGAATATAAATAAGTAGTAAATGAATATAAATAAATAAAATAGAAAACTTCATTGAAACATCTTATCATTACTTTAATCAACAGTTTCCAACCTTGCTGCATTTTTTAAAAACACTGATGCCTGGGTGCCACCTCATGAAATTTCAGTGTTATTGCTCTGCGTTCAGCCCAGGCATCATCATTTTGATAAGCTTCCTAGGTGATTCCAGTGTGCAGCCAGGATAGGAACCACTCTTCAAAGTCTTTGCTGGGATTTCAAAAGAAAGAAAGAAAAAGGGCCACAGACACTTAAGTAGACTCCTCCTCGGGTGAGTGACAGGCTCTGGGTCTCTTCTTTTCCATGTGTCTTTTTGATTAGCTACAGCCTGTGTTCTTGATCCATAGCTCTTCATTTGTGCATGAGTTGTAGGAACTAAAAAGATAGCCTTCTACGCAAAACTTATACTGTGAAAACTACAGAACATTGTTGAAAGAAATAAAGGCAGCCTAAATGAATGGAAACATATCCCATGTTCATGGATTGGACCACTTAATATGATTAAGATGGCTGTGCTCCCCAAATTGATCTATGAGCTCAATTAACTCAGTCCCTATCAAAATCACAGCTGGCTTTTTGTGGCAATTAATTGAAAAGATTAATCTAAAATTCATATGAAAATGCAAGGGACCCAAAATAGCCAAAACAAAATGAAAAACGAAGTTGGAGAACTCATACTTCCCAATTTCAAAACTTACTACAAAGTTATACTAATCACGACAGTGTGGCACTGGCATAGGATAGATATATAGAATCCGTGGAATAGAATTGAGAGTCCGGTAAACAACAAAACAAAACAATAAAACAGAAGCCCACATTAATGGTCAATTGATTTTTGAAAAGAGGGTTAAGCCAATTTGATGAAATGCAGTCTTTTTCAAGAAATAGTGCTGGATACCATTATGCAAAGCAATGAGGCTGGACCCTCTGTCACACCATACACATCAGAAAAACTCAAAATGGATCATAGGCTTAAATGTAAGAGCTGAAAGTATAAAATGTCAAAAGAAAATGTAGGAGTAAATCTTTGTAACCTTGGGTTAGTTAAAGCTTTCTTAGATATGACACCAAAAATGCAAGTAACATGAGAAAAATGGATAAATTGGACTTTATCAAAATTTAAACCTCTTATACTCCAGTAGGTATCATCAATTAAGTAAAAAGACAACCCATAGAATGGGAGAAAATATTTGTAAGTCTAATATTTGATATTTGATAAGCGATTTGTATCCAGAATATATAAAGAACTCTTAGAGCTATAAATAATAAAAGACAATCCAATTAAAAACCAGGTCAAGGCCGGGCGTGGTGGCTCAAGCCTGTAATCCCAGCACTTTGGGAGGCCGAGGCGGGTGGATCACGAGGTCGAGAGATCGAGACCATCCTGGTCAACATGGTGAAACCCCGTCTCTACTAAAAATACAAAAAAAACTAGCTGGGCCTGGTGGCGCATGCCTGTAATCCCAGCGACTCAGGAGGCTGAGGCAGGAGAATTGCCTGAGCCCAGGAGGTGGAGGTTGCAGTGAGCCGAGATCGCGCCATTGCACTCCAGCCTGGGTAACAAGAGCGAAACTCCGTCTCAAAAAAAAAAAAAAAAACCAGGTCAAAATATTTGAAAAAACATTTCTCTAAATATATATGCATAGCTACTAAGCATATTGAAATGATGGTCAGTATCATTAGGCATTAGATAAATGCAAATTAAAACCACAGGGAGATAACACTTCACAGCCACAAGCGTGGCTATGACTTTTAAGATAAAGGAAAATCACCAATGTTGGTGAAGAAATTGGAACCCTCATACATGGCTGATGGGAATGAACATTTTGGAAAACAATGTGGCAGTTAAATGTAGAGTTACTCTGTGATCTTGCAGTTCTCCTTGCTAAAGTCCTAGAAATGAAATCATACATCTACACAAAAGTTTGTACACAAATGTTCATAACTGGTTCATGGAAAACGTGGTAACAAAATTTGGTATGTTTGTACAATGGGCTAATTTTTAGCCATAAAAAGAATGAGGTACCCAAATATGCTACTATGTGGATGACCCTTTAAAACATTATGCTAAGTGAGAGAAGCCAGTCATTCATTTGTGCAAAATATCCAGAATAGGCACATCAAGAGAGAAGGTAGATGAGTGGTTGTTTTGTCTGGGGGTAGGGAGGAATGGGGAATCGGTGCTAATGAGAGCAAGTTTTCTTCTGAGGTTGTTAAAAATGCTCTAAAATTGATTGTGGTGATGGTTGTATAATTCTGTGAATACACTAAAAGCCACTGAATTATATATTTGAAATGAGTGGACTGCATGTGAATCAAATCTCAATAAAGCTATTATATAAAAAATTAAATTATCTTCAAGAATTATCCCCTGAAAAATGCACATTGGGCCTCCCTCTGATTTGTGTTGTGGCACATACGTATAGCAGTTGGGCCACTTAGCATGACTAAGCGTAATACCACAGCTGGGTAGTTCAAGCCTCTTGTCTGTTTGAAAGACCATCAGAAAACTCAAAGAGTAGGATGGGATAAACTTTGAGAAGCAGGACATGAGCTGTGTCTCCAGTTTGGTTCTTCTAATATGGTTTATTTTCAGTCATTTGATCTCCATCTCATCTCTAATGATTATAAAGAATTAAAACAAGGACCAGGTGCAGTGGCTCATACCTGTAATCCCAGCACTTTGGGAGGCTGAGGCAGGTGGATCACGGGGTCAAGAGATCAAGACTATCCTGGCCAACATGGTGAAACCCCGTCTCTACTAAAAATACAAAAATTAGCTGGGGGTGGTGGCAGGCACCTGTAGTCCCAACTACTTGGGAGACCGAGGCAGGAGAAACTCTTGAACTGAGGAGGCAGAAGTTACAATAAGCCAAGATCGCACCACTGCACTCCAGCCTGGGTGACAGAGCAAGATTCCGTCTCAAAAAAATAAGGAATGAAAACAAATCATCATTGTAGAAAATCAAGAAAATGCAGATAGAGAAAAAGAAGAAAATAAAACTGGAGTATTTCCACAACCCAAGTTTCGAGTTGGCCCCCACCTCCCATGCCATGGACTGACCAGCAGGGTTCCGGCATCCCTTGCCTATGGTGGCTGTGTCTTCACATGAAAGAAACTGAACTTGGTCATTTTTCCTGCCAGGTCAGAAGAGATTCTTAGCATGTAACATACATCATTGCACAAGCCAAGCCTCCTAAAACCTTGTCTGCTACTGCTTCGGCTGCTACTTCAGCCAAAATTCTTCAGCTTCATATTGTCTTGAAAACGTACGATTGTCTCTGACAAACAGGCTACTTGCTGGTTAGAAACTATTATCAATTTAACAAGATACTTATCAACCAGAGTGATCACAAGAGCTGTCATCTGATCAATGACGTCAGCAGTGCTTTTTTTCTCGGTGTCATCAAAGCTGACGTTTAGAAGAGATGCTGGTGATAGTCATCTCATTCTATTCAATTTTTCAAAGGCAGAAACCAACCCAGGAGCAGCTGAGAGGATTGTTTAAACACAGAGCTTCCTCACAGAGAGTGGAGTGAAGGAGGAGAAGTCCCAGGAGAGGCAAGCAGTCAAGTCATGGAGTTGGGGGCCCTGGGGAGGGAAAACACAGATAGAAGAGCAGAATTTTCTCTTATATCTCATGCTTAACAGATTTTGGTTAAACCTTACCCTTGCCCACCACCTGTATCTGTAAATAAGGTTTTCCTAGAACACGACTGTGGCCATATGTTTGTGTATCGACCATGGCAGCTTTTACACTAGGATGGCAGAGCTGCATAGTTCCAACAGAGACTGGCTGGTCTGCAAAGCCTAAAATATGTCTTGTGTGGCCCTTTACAGAAGACGTTTTCTAACCCCTGCTCTAGGTTAAGGAGAAAAAAAAAAATGATGAAATGATGTTCCCTATTACTTTTGACCTGATTTTCTTTGTTACCTGAATAGGAGGCTAGAATCTGCCTGTATTTTAATAAGGATTTGGATCTCACAAGACACCTCAGGCCTTGCACAAGCTGTTCAGATTCTTTGCCCCAGTTCTAATCTAGAGACAAAGGCCTAGAATTCTCCTCCCACAGGAATGTATTGA